TTGGCTGTTCTCAGTGGTAGCAGATGACAGAACAAGGAGCAATGGTCTCAAGTTGCAGTGGGGAAGGTCCAGGTTGGATATTAGGAAACACTATTTCACTAGGTGGATGATGAAGCACTGGAATGCTTTACCTAGGGAGGTGGTGGAATCTCCTTCCTTGGAGGTTTTTAAGACCCGGCTTGAGAAAGCCCTGGCTGGGATGATTTAGTTGGGAATTGGTCCTGCTTTGAGCAGGGATTGGACTAGATGACCTCCTGAGGTCCCTTCCAACCCTGATATTTTATGTGTGTGGATACGCAGAGACAACAAACCGGGTGAACTGTGGGAGCCCTGCGGGGAGCTTTTGAGAGAGTGGGGCCGGGAGGCTGTAGTCGTAACTTCACTCCCCTATTAGACCCAGGGGACCGCGAACAGACTCAGCCCTGCCACAGCCCACGCTGCCAGCAGCAGCGAGGGACACGGACCAATCTGCCTTGTCTCTTTAAATGCCTTCCCCATCCCCCTGCCCCGTTGGCGGCTGACGCCATCAGCATGCGCCGTCCGGAGCGCTTCCCGCTCTGCGCGGAGCCGCGTCTATTAAGCGCGACGGGGTCGGGACTCGGGGGCGGTGGCCGTGGCGGGCGCTGAGGATGTAAGTAGGGGGTGGCCGGGGATCTGGTGCCATCCGGCTTGGGTGAGGTGTCGGGGGTCCCCGCTATCGTCTCCGGACCCCGAGAGGAGGGGCCTGGAGCTACGGAGCAGGATATGGCAGGTGGGGATGGGAAGGCCGGGACCTAACCCGTCCCGGAGGATGGAGCCTGGGGGAGGGGCCTTTGGAAAGCCTGCGTGGAAGTTTAGGGGTGGGCCGCAGAGGCATTTCTTCCTCCTCGTGCTTTCGGGGTTCGCTCTGCACTTGGGCCAGGCTGCCCCGCTGGAGTTTTGCAGCGGGGATGGTGAAGCTGCGTTCCCCTGTAGCTGGGGGTCGGGGTGGGCCGCTCTGGAACAGGGCGCATGCTCTAGTACTACTCTCTCCCTCCACATCTCCTGTTCTGTTGCACCTGCTAACCGCAGGGGCAGTTGTGGGGGAGGGTCCGCTTCTCTATCGATCCTCTTCGGGGCTGTGTTTTTCTATCCCTGTTTCTCAGCCGTCATCGTGGTAAGGCCGTACATGTTCTGTGGTCACTAACAAACCCATAGTGCATCTGGCACTGCAGATTGCAGTACATGTCCCCCCAAAAACGTTGTGCAAACTGAGATACAGACTGAACACAAGCATTTATTTATCTGGGTAATTCTGTGGTCTCTATCGCTGTAGTAGCTAAATGCTCCTTGTATGCTAATGAATTTAACCTTGTAACACTTCTATAAGGAAATGTTATCACCATTTTCTAAATGGAGACCCAGAGGCACAGAAAGACTGAGACTAAATGACTTGCCTTAATAGCTAAGTTCATACAGGAAGTCTTTGGCAGAGCTGAGTTTGCCTCACCCATCACTGTAATGTAACTTCATGAGAGTAGTGCACAACTCCTTAGAGAAGAAAAGTGAGAGAGTAAAGTATCAAACCAACACATCCTGTATGATTTGTGTTTATGTCTTTCATTTAGATATTAGGTGTTGCAGAAAAACTCATTTGTTAGTGGAGAGGTTTTCTTGGTAATAAGTAGGAAAAAAGCATATTCTTGCAAATGCCATCCATGCATGTATACGTTTGTCTGTAGATATATACATAACTTGTTCCTAATGGAATTATTTTCCAGTGAGTGTTAGCTAGGATTCATAGATTCTAGGACTGGAAGGGACCTCGAGAGGTCGAGTCCAGTCCCCTGCCCTCGAAGTCTCAGCCTGAATACACTGATAACTGGGTGAAAGTCATGTAGTCTTGTCTCATTCACTCAGATTTCAGTTTCTGCTCATCAGAAAGTAGACATTTGCAGTCAATTTGTTGATTGTAAATAAGCAAGACAGCATTTGTTCTATTAAGTGAGGGTACATGTATTTCGGGGGGGGGGGGGGAAGAAAGGGAGACAATGGGTAAATTGTTGAGCCCCAGAAAATCAGTATAAGAGAATTGCAGATGCAAAGGACAAAACAATATGAAATCCAGAAAACTACATGGAGTTTATTCTTATTACCAAATGTTTCTAAACTCTAATTTATGTAATGTGCCTAAGTATCCAGCTTCATTTTTGTTAGTAGCATTATGTATCCTGTTTTATGGGTCTGGCAGTGCATAGTCACTTTTAAAAATGCAAATAATGGCCAGTCGCCTTCCAAATACTTAATGAATTGACTAGGATAATAGAGATACTGTATACAGCTTACAACCACCATAATGGTGACTGCTAAGTTGGCTCTGTAGTGAGCATAAACCAAACAGGAGCAACCTAACAATTGCTGTTAATGGCTATTACAGTGGTTCTCAAACTTTTGTACTGGTGGACCCCTTTCACATAGCAAGCCTCTGAGTGCGACCACCCCCCCACCCCCCTTATAAATTAAAAATACTTTTTTATATATTTAACACCATTATAAATGCTGGAGGCAAAGCAGGGTTTGGGGTGGAGGCTGATGGCTCATGACCCCCCCCCCCGTAATAACCTCGTGACCCTCCCCAAGGGGTCCTGACCCCCAGTTTGAGACCCCCTGGGCTATTTGGTCACATACCACTGGCACCTTTATTAAATGGTAAGCAATCCACCAATTTAGTTAAAACGTGAAGATGTATTGGGATACCATATTACATATGGGATAAAAAGACCTCTTATGGATTGCACCTAGGGTTCAGCTCATGACTAGTATTTTAATATGAATTAATGGTGTTGATTTGTGTCCTTTATTTGTATCAAGAGTACAAAGAGATCTGTAGGGGTGGATGAAATCTGAGCCCCATGTAAACCTTCCACCAAGAGAGTCGAACATGCACTTTTGCAGTTACATCAGACTGGTTCCTCAGCTCAGTGCCTTGCTTCCAAGGTTGGCAGAGCAATGGAGGCAGCTTGCATCCACTGAAAGTAGGGAGACAGAGTGCCCTATGCAGCTTTTGGGAAACACCCCTTTGCTAACCAACATATGTTGTGGCAGCAATTGGCTCTAGAGGAAGCAGTGCTTAGTCCTCTGAGGGGTGGATGGCTGTCACAAGGCAGGTTAGGCAACACTCATGCACCTGGCAGAGGAAAACTCGTGGAAAATCCATGTTTTCCCTGTCTGCCATACATCTCGGCTTGCTAATTTGTACCCTTTGTACTCCTATGAAAATGTCAGCTGACACCTTGAGGCATCCATGTCAAGTCTTCAGCAAGATGGATAGTGTGTATCTCTGTGTGAGCAGGCACAGGTGTTTGGCTCTAATAGCAATGTAACAATGTGAGTAACTACTGTTTGTACAATATGAAATTGTCAATACCTCATTAGCTGACCCCCACCTCCTGCTGCCTTTATTGAAAAGTAGGTTTGTTGTTTTTGCCAATACGTTTATTTCTTGTTTCTAAACCCTTTTATCTTGTCACTAGGCCGCTCTTTGGAGTTTATTGCACTCGATTAGGGATCGTTTCTCAGAATCAAGGAGTTAGAAGTGAGATTTGAGATAAGTGAGGCCCATCCAGTGCTGCTTGGGACGCCTCAGAAGGGAAAATGGAGTTTTCAGGAATGAAAAAGAAGAGTTTGCTAGGATTCAAAGAAAATAATAAAAAATCCAGCACTAGGTAATAATTCTGTCTGAATTTTCTAGGCTTATCCCCATTGGGGACATGTAGGATACTAGGGTGTTTCCAGTGAGAATGTGGAATTGGAAATGTATCTCTCTTCTCACAATGAGAATTTTCTTAAATTACAACTTTGACTTTCTTCTTTAAAGTTTCTCTGTAGCATGAACTTTTGTGATCTGTTTTTAAAAAAAAAAATTAAAATCTTAGTGTTCTAGCTCTGCAATAATGGTTATTCTAAGTTGGCTTTAAAGTTCAGTGTTTTGTTTAAAGTGAAATAATTTCTTTTGACCTTTTCTTAAAGGGCTCCCTCTCCAACCAAGCGCAAAGATCGGACTGAAGACAAATCCAAGGACAGATCCAAGGACAAAGTGTCCACCAAGGAATCAAGCGAAAAGGATCGTGGTCGGGACAAAACGCGCAAAAGGCGCAGTGCTTCCAGTGGTAGCAGCAGTACCAGGTAACTAGAGTTTCTCTGCATCCCAGTGATAGCCCAAATAGTAGTGAGTTGTGCTCCTGTTCAAATGCTACAAATCTGCTTTGTGGTTCCCCATATTAGAAGACTCCTTGGGGGATTGTGTTGCTAAAAAGTGACCCTATTGCTTTATCAATGAGTATGCTTTGCATAGAGTGCAGTCTCTCCCTTGGCTGAAATAATGTTAGCTGTGAGGTTGAGCTCTCATCACTTTAACCACCGATTCTTGTCTTGTACTTACCTGGAGACTATATTCAGCTATCCTTTCCCCTGTGTATTCTGCACTGATTTCCCCCC